GTACTGGTGGCTCCTCTATGTATAAAAATTACTATAATATATATTTATCTAAATATTTATAAATCTACCTACACGTTTCTACACATATTTCTGAAACAAGGTTCTCTTTTGTCTTTAGTTGGAAAAAAAAAAAAAAACCCCAATAAGAAACAAATAAACAAATAACATTTAGTTTCTATCGTTTGTACATGATTAGAGCATGCTGAATTCGTTTGTTTATCTCTCTTTCTCTCTAACATCCCCTCGGTCCACCTCAAAAGCATCCCCGACAAAAGGGATGAATTAAAATTAATTTAAAAGATCCCCGACTCTTCCTCCCCATCCCACCCTCCTCCCTGCGAAACCCCGTAAATCCTCCCGACGAAATGTTAATTCCAAAGCTCCGTCGAGTCTACGGCTCGGTTCCCCCTCCCCCGCCCCTTTCGCTAATATTTAATCGTTTCCCTCGATCATTCGGCTCTAATGATTTCTTTCAACCCCACTCGCGACCACATATTACACACACTCACCTCCGGCAATTTGTTTGATCTGAAACCTGACCGACTCGCCGATACCGTTATCCAATTGTTAGAGCTCGAGTGTTGGTAATTATGGACACAACCGCAATTATAGAGATGATACGAGACCGTGTACACCGGGTCGATCGGGTAAACGAGAGAAAGGGTGCTCGCTCCGTCGTCGTATCGGGTGACACGCGACTTCCGCCTTCTCGATTCCTTCGACCTCCTCTATAGAGGCTTTGAAATACTCGCGTTCGACGCGCATCTGTTCAATCGTCAAAAGAGAGAAACGCTGAACCAACTGTCCTTGTGCACAAACACCATGTGGCAAACGCGGGTTATACAATACGTTTGCGTCTCAAAAAGAATCGCGGGGTGCCATTGACTCGAGTTTTCACACTTTGAGCATGGGTTTCTCAAAACAATCGGAGAACAAAGTTCGCAGTAACTGAAAACGCGCCACGTTGTCCCTAACGAATTCGGGGAGACGAAAGCTCGGTCTGGGTAACAGTACGCCCTTTTATACACTTACTCCGGGGTTATCCGAAACTCAAGCGCACGCATCCTTTCCTCGTCTCCTTCACCCAGCCAAACGTAGACTCGACTCTTGGAGCTCTCTCTGCGTCTCTCATATATATATCAACTCACCAGCGCAAAGAAAACGTTAAGTACAGAGTATATATTATTATTATTAT